AAATAAACGCAGGACAAAGCAAAGCAATTCAATTCCCTTGGGGTAGACAGACAGAAGGACAGACGGGCGGAGGGAGGACACACACGAGACAGAGAGACAGAAAACCAATAAAATTATACAATAAATAATTTATGAAACAATAAGCCACAATACCAGCAAATTGAGTGTAAAATCGAGAGACCCGACAACAATGGACAGTCATTAGTTGCTGCAGCAACTGTGGCAGCCCAAAAAATCAACAATGACCAAGAGCCAGGCAGTCTGGCAGCAGCAGCAGCAGACAATTTCATTTGTGGAGTGAAAACACTTTGATTTGATTTCAATTAAGATGAAAGTCAGGCAACAGGCGACAAGAGGAGGCGGCGTGAATTCCGAGGATAATGCGTCAAACAGGAGACACAGAGAGCAGACCGCAAAAAGCGGCACTCGAACGGATATCGAGGCATGCAACACTGAGTGGCATTTTCGGTTGGGTTTTCGCTTTGATTAAATGTCAAGTTGCAAACCGCAAAGCGAGTGCCACTTGGGGCTTGAGCACATGTGTGTTGTGTGCGCCGCGGCGTTTGCCACGCCTCAGCAACGCCCATTTGAATAATTGAGTTTGGCAGCAGTTTAAACGATTGCCAAAACCAAAAGCTGCCTTTGTTTGTATTACAGTTCTTACAGTTGGACCAGAGGGGGAAGAGTTTGGGACTCAGACTAGACTGGTGCTGGTAATGGTGGGCGTAGTTTTATTTCATTTGGTTGTTGCGTACGTGCCCTGCATGGAAATGGGAATTGTTTTACCTAAAAAGGGAAATTGTGAATGGAAATGGCAAACGGGACTATTCGAGTCGTAGTGGGAGTGTCGGCAGCATCTGTGTTCTGTGTGCTTCGAGTCGGAATAAGAATGAAAATGAGAATCAGAATCAGGCAGCAATCTGTTCGGTCAGCCCACAACAAGAGACAAGCCATGACATTTCCACCCACTTTTGTTTATTCTCAGCAATTAAACCTTGCCATGGAGCCAGGCAGCCAGGCCAGGCCAGGCCGGGAAGAAGACCCAGAGGCAGAAAGGGCCCAGAAGAGAGTGAGAGATCATGTAGGGCCCTCTCCATCTCTGTCAATTAGTTAGAAACGGGCGTTGACAACGGATGTCCACTCGAATCCCAGGGCTAAAAAGCAAACAGAAAGCCCTCTCCGCGGTCCACAGCAGCAGGTTCATTAGAAGTCCTTCCCAACAATAACTAGTGGCAGCCAGAGAGAGAGTGTCCTTTGAAGGGTTTTAGTCAGTGCGCTCTGGCAAAATTCATTTCCTCTTGCCTGATTGATAATCTACTGCAATTTTTCAAGTGGCATACCACCTTTTGTTGCATGTCATCTTAGCTGGCACTGGAAGTGGAGTAAGTGGCATTCATTTGTGGCTTGTTCTACAGATAAAGTCACACAAAGACAGAGACAGAAGCAACAGCTGCAGCAGAAGGAGGAGGAGCAGCAGCAGCTGCATTGAGGGGTGTTAACAAGGCAACAATCAACAGCAACAAGGCAAGGCAGGCAGGCAGTCAGCCAACAGGAGAGTTGGCGGGTTGTGAGGGTTCAAGGGTTTTGTGGCACGGCACACCCATCAGTTTGTCTATCGCTCCCTCCCCATCGTTTGGTTTTGTTGACAACGCTTCATTCATGCCCCATTCATGAGGTCTCGGTACCAGCAAGCAGCACCAGCAACAGCATCCGCATCAGCATCAACATCAGCATTGCTCCTGCTGCTTGGACACGGAACACGGGCACCCTGCTGTCCGGTTTTATTTATGAACTGCGCTGCGATTTCTCAACTGCAATTGGAGCTGCTGCTGGCTGCTGCTGTTGTTCCTGCTCCTGTTTCTGGCTTTTGCCCCCTCTTCCCACTTTGGCAAGCGCGTGCTGCTGTTGCGCTTCATTTGTGTGAAGAATTGCTGCTGCAGGTCTTTTTGTATATTTGCTGCCATTTATTTTCGCACTGTCGTGCACTTAATTTGTGTCCCACACGCACACACACATGTGTGTATGTACTTTCCGGCACAACAATTCACTTTGACACTGCGCCGCCTGACATGAGTCGGCAATAAATTGACTGGACAAAGAAAGAAAACAAAAGGACGTTGGGGGGGGGACAAAGAAAGAAAAGAAAAGCAAGATGTGTGTGTGTGTGTGGCGTGGGTGCTCCTCCTACATGTTCTATTTTAGTTTCAAACATTTCCATTTCGATTTCAATTGATTTACGGCGTGGGTTTTGCCCTGCCTGCCTGTTGACTGTTGGTGCGTGACAATTTCCGTGTCCCTTGCCCATTGTGCGTGTAATAAATCTACTTGGAACTTAATGCATTTATTACTAACACACTCACACCACCCACATATAGGCTGACCTTTAACTCTAATGGTAATGCGATCAGTTTTCAGTTTCATTAGCATGCAAGAGGGCGAAGGCATTGGCGTTGGCGGTACGTTCGCCCTGGGCTGGGTCTCTCCCTGGTCTTTGGCTTTGGCTACAGTTTGGCTTTGGGCTTTCGGCTCATGCCTTACCCAATTTCCCAATTTCGCGCTAATTAACTGTGTGCCAACCACAGGCAGGAAGCAAGCAGCCCTCCAAGTTTTTCGGCAGCCTGGCGGCAGCCTGGAACTTTGCCAAGCCAAAATCTGCCTGCCGGTTGGAGCAGGCTTTTACTCGGAACCGCCTTCTACTGTGAACAGCCTCCTCCGCTCAGCAGTCACCTCCTCTGAACAACCTCCTGCTCTCCCCATGCCTCTCACGCTCTGTGTTTGTGTGTGTTCTGGTGATTTCATGCTCGTTGGCAACACCAATAACAGCAGCAGCAGCAGCTATGGAAATGTTACAATTTATGAGCACATCCTTGTGTAAGCCTGTCGTCGTGGTCCCGCGGACAAGCACTTGTAACACTCTCTGCAGCTCCCACTCTAGCTCGTACATTTTCCACCGAAAATCATGGCGCTGCCCCGTGATTTGGCTGCATGGAATGCAACGATGCTGTTGCCTGCTGCCAGGCATTTTGACAGTTTCAAGCGGCAACTAATTTTCGCATTTAACCATCCCCCGATCGACCCACTGAAAATACAATTTAAAAGTTTTGCGCTACTCCTCCACTCTGTGTGCTGTGCGGCTGAGCTCATTTAGCAAGTCAGGAATTTCATTTGGCGTAAACACACTTTTCCCATGTCATGCCATCGATGCGAGGATACACGCGAGAGTATCCTTTCCGTCCTATACTTGGGGTGCAAAAATCTTCTCGTCTCGGAAGTGCACTTCAATGAGTTTTTATGAACTTTTTTCAATGTTTCAATGAGAGATAGGACATGGGATAAGGGGTCTTCTTGCTCTCTCAGAGCAACAGAATTGACCAAAGTTTGCAACTTAAAACTTGAATGAGTGGCCCAGCCCCATGAATCCCATTGCAAAGTCTATTAATTCCTCTATGACTAAACAAACTGCCAACAGCAATGGCAATGGGAATTGGAATGGGCAATGGGCAATGGGCCAAGGCAAATGTTAACCCCATTGCATGTGGAAGATGGAAAATTGCAGCTGCAATGGAGCGAAAACGAAATGCTCGACAATTGAATTGCGTTTGTGGGTCATTTGATTTAATAATTCCATTTGCAGGCGGAAAATGCAAAGCCACATGACTCCTCCACTACAGCGTGCAGAGTCCTTTGGGGTTTACCCCATTCTCCATGCTCCACCGCAATGAGCTGCAGTTGCTATTCCCCTCCGCCTCCTATAATGCTACCCCAATGAACTGCAGTGAATGGCCGATAAGCTCTCTGCAAAGCTTTGTGATTCGAGAGGGTACGGAATGAGCAGGAGCTTAAGGACTCAACAAAGCAACCAACGACCCACACATCAGCAGCTCGGCAGCTCAGCAGCTCAGCAGCTTTGTTCGGGCTTTCAGTTGCGAGAGGGGGAAACAAAGGCAGGAAGATCTGATTGGGTAGGGGGAGCTGCAGTAGCTATACATATATCACCCTGCACATCGATGATTTTTGATGATCTATGAAATGTTCGGTGTGAAATTTAAGCAGCAGAAGGACTCCGAGTGTAGAGGAACTTCTACAACAAATCTTGGCATACAAATGTTGATTGAAAATCAGTTTTCGGCGGACTGCTCCTTTCGTTAACCCACTTGGCAGGCGGCGGGTCAGTGTTTATCGCGAAAAGACTTTCTTGCATGCCACAGGCGACAAACACGAACATTATTTCCGCCTTATAAACTTTCTACGCTTGACTTTTCAGCACAGTTTTCCACGGTGCGGCATTCATGAGCGTGTGAAAGGGATCGGGCTGGGTCTAGGGACTGGCAATGTGTTATGCCGATGCTTATCGTAGGCAAATTTATGGAACGAAGTTAAGTACGGTGTAAGCCGGAGAGGCCCATTATGGTTATACTTTAAGCGAAACTTTCGCCCGCTCTCTGCCTCTCCCAACCTCCTTCTGCCTTTGGCCAAATGACTAATTATAATATTCTGCTTATTCCGTGTATATTTTCATGTTTTCGCTGGGCACACACACAACACAGCTGCAGGAGAAACGCAACGCAACAGCAACGCAAATAATAATAACAACAGTTGTGAATTATGGGAAAAAGTTAATTAAAAGCCCAAAAATACGGCACATAAGTGGGGCTTAAAGCGAACGGCATAAGCGAGAGCCCATAAATCAATCGGAACGAGAGTAAGCCAGCCGGAAAGAAGGAGAGAAACAAAGGAGCGAACGAGCCAGAATATGTAGAGTAGAGGCTGGAATGCATGCCCAATGTCAATGCCTACTATTTACATGGCCAATGAAAAATGGCCATCAAATTGAAGGGCATAACGAGCAAAGCCAGCAGCAAGAACAACAGCAGCAACAAGGATAAATGCAGCAGCAGCAGCAGCAGCAGGAGGAGGAACAAACCAAACAGAAGAACCCATTCAAATTGAAATGACTTAAAGCGGCTTACGAGTGTGTGTGTCTCTGTTTACATTGAACAACAACACAAAAAGGAACAACAAAGCAACCAAAAAAACCGAAACAAAGCGCAGCACACAGGAGGACACAGGATACACACGGCGTGTGCGTGATTAATTGCACTTTAAACACACACAGAGGGAGGGAAATACCAGAAGGAAACGCTGTCAAAATGTTGCCAACCAATGTGATGACATTCATGAAGAAGGTAAGTGGCAAGAACGAACGACCGGTAGTCAGGAGTGACACTTCGATTTTTAATTAATGAAAATATATAAATCAAAGGCAGAGCCCGAGAAACTCTGGTACTGAAGCTACTCCTCCTCTTCCCTGTTGTCACAGACAGATGCCCTCGTAATTTATGCTTAATTTCATTTCAATTTGTGCCATTTGTGATTGTGATTTTATAATTACTTGCCAAGCGGTGGCAGTGGCAATGCACTGAAAATTTAATGAGCAGCTGCGCCATAATGAAATGCAACAAAAGCGAATGAAATTCAAATTGAAATTGGGGAGGTGAAATGAGATGCATAAATAACGAAGGTAAAATAACGTTGGGGGCACTCTGCATTCTTCTAAACTGAACCGATCGTTTAAGCTTTGTTTTTCAAACAGCATTCAGGGAAGAAACAACAAAGTGTAGAGTTGTTAGCTGGAAGGGTGTGGTCGGGTTGGGTGGCAGGTTGGACAAACAAAACTTTTTAATTAAAAAGCCCTTTAAATGCTTTTCGTTGCCTGACTGAGCCTACGCCCCATGCCACACCCTCTTTGCTGCTGTTTATGAAGCCAGAAATATATATAAAAATATACACAAAAAAAGAGAAAAGAGACCAAACGGATACGCAGCAATCGAAGCTGTTCAATTGTCCTGCGAAAGCACCTGCCTGCCAGTCGGGTTGTCCCTTTTTTTCGGAAAATGCGGAAATTATACACAAAGTCGTCGTCTCTGTGTGAACCCAAAAATAACACAGAAAAGGGAAGAAAATAAAGGGACAACCTCAAGCAGAAAATACCCAAGCTGGAAGGAAAAAGTGTAAATTCCAAGGAAATTCCCATTGGGCATAAAATTCTTTAGCAAAGTTAATAAAAACCAAGTTGAGAATTAAAAGAAAAGCGTTGAAAATGCCAGCTGACAAGCAAATGCCAAAGCAACTAAATGCTGCAGATTTTCGCCAGGGGGGGAGAGAGTTAGGCAAAAGTTTTGATTAGACCAAATGAAGCACGAAATCAAAGCGTTCGTGGCCGAAAGATTGCCAGATTCCACGACTCTCAGACTTACCCAACTCAAGCAACTCTCAAGACAATGATGGTGATGAGCCTGAGAGCCTGTTGACAGTCTGTTAGCCAAAGAAGTCCGTTAGGAAAAGGATTTTCGCACAAAGTTTCTTTTGCCTCTCCCTTTGGCACATTCAAAATGTGCACAACAAATGCCCGAAAGAGCCACAGAGAACATCAAAGGACAAGTAAGTGGGGCATGAATGACATGGATACACGGCAGGCAGGGGTATGGCTGCTGCAGTTTATTCGCAGCAATTTTCTTAATAGTGCTCCCAGATGTAAAGTTCCCTCTGCACAGCCATCCATCCGTCCGGTCATGCCATGCCAGGACATGCATCCTGCCCCTTCTTGCGGTTGCTTGATGTCTCGCCTGTGGACTAGCCTGTGGCCAGACATTGACCAAGCAACAGCACACACACACACACACACACAGCGCAGCACAACATGCCGCCGCACTCTGCCGCAACATCTCCTGCATCAGTCTGCAGTTTATTGTGGAGGGAACAAGGCAACAAAACGTGTGGCTGGCTGCAACAGGCAGCACAAGGTCAGTCTGCATGTAATGAGAAGTACGCGCGTGCCTGCCACAGAAACATGACCTGAACTTTTGCCAGCAACTTTTAAGTGGTGTATTTTCTCATTTCGTATTGATTTCCAACTGCAGGGAATGCCCTGTCATGCCGGCTGCTCCTACTGCTCCTCCCTGCTTGCCTTCAGCTGCCAGCCAGTCTGCCAGCCGTGTGCCACATTTTCGCATTGACTGGCATCTTTTATGTGGCATACTCTGCGGCCGTAAAGGGAGCACATATTGCCAGAGCCGCCATATTATTGTTGCCACCGCCACCATGCCTCTGTTACACTGACAGTGGCAACAACTGTGGCAGCACTTAAACGTCAACACATAATTTTCGGCACTAAACATGAAACTATTTGCGGCTTCGGGTCATAAGACCCTGGGAAGCCCCAAAAAAGCACCACCAACAACAACAACAACAAAAAATCATCATAATAAATGACAAAATTAACACCGTAATAATTGTGTATGCAGGAAGAGCATAGTCAGAGGCAGCAACAGCGAGTGAGTAAGGGAAATGGTAGGGGAAAACTGAGCAGAAGAATAAGACCTGAGGTTGAGGTACATCCCCTTGACTGAAGAAAAATGGCCACAGCCACCTGAGCATATAAATTAAGTCGGTTGCCGGAGCTGGAGCCACATGGAAAAAGGTTTACGCCGGTGCTTCTCCTTTTACCTGAAGAAGGGGCAGTGAAATATGGTGCCACCCAAAACAAACAAATATATATTACAATGAGTCCACTAAGATTTCATGGAAGCTGGATGGAGGAGCGGAGGAATACCTTACCAAGGCAAAGGTTGCGCTGGCTAGAAACATTAATCCGCCGACCGAGCCACACCGACATCAAATGACATCATCAAAAATGTAGCCCAACGCGACCATAATCTGACACTAGATGGCGCTTAGTCCGCTCTCTCATCCTCAACTTTAACCTCACCCTCCCTTATTTTTGGTTTAGAAGGCCCGAAAGGTAGGCAACCGAAAATGCTGCAGCCGAAAGCACTTAGCGTAATTTGCGCCAGCAGTTTACTATACATATATCTCTCCTGTGTGTGTGTGTATTACTATGTGTGTGTTTGTGTGTGTGCGTGGATGGCCTTCATGTGCTGCCTGGCTGGCTTGCTGGTCTGTTTGTTCCGGTTTACTCGTTGGCGCTTTGGCAAATAGAAAATTTCCACTTCATAAAACGCTGACAGAGCAAAGCACAGTGGAGCGGAGGGACAAGAGAGAGACAGGAGGAGAGAGAGCACTTATGTTTTCGGCCCTTTTCAATTGTTATTCCTCTCTGACACACACAGAGGCTTTCTCTTTCTCACTCTCCCTTTTGTGCATTAAAAAGAATGACGGCAATTTTTGGAAAGCCGCCGCTGGGGCAGCATCAGCCGGTCTCAGTTTCGGCTTTGCCTTCAGCTTTCTTTAATCAAAAATTACTTGACACACTTTACGATTTCTAGGCAATTTGTTGCGCGTCAGCAGCAGCAGGTTTTTTCCCGGAAAATCAAATAAAACGCAAGGCATTTCGGTTCACCTGCCCTGAGAATGACTGGCCGGAAAAGCGTAGAGAAAATCTTGGAGAGGAGTCTAAAAGGTGTCTCCAGGGTTAGAGACCAAATCTTAAAAGGGAATTACATCAGCCTGGATTTGCTTTTCTGTTTTTCCCTTTGTGCATTTTCTTCTCCAGTAATCTGCAAATGAATTTGCACAAAATAACTCAATCATTCCATGATGGGAAATTCTCCTGCATCAAATTAAAAATCTTTAAAAAGAAATTATTAAACGAAAAAGTTGCATAAAACTTTTAGCATGATGGAAATACAATATACCCGATCGTCGGTTATGCAAACGAGTTCAATATGTTGCCACAAATATTCATGGATTTTCCATTTCTTCTTCTTTTGCAGATGGTGGCGACCGATGAGCCGAGCAACGAGCGGCAGCAGCATGCCACGGACTCGGGTGGCGGTGCCTCCAATACGGGCGCCTTGAACAAAATGAAGGCCACGCTGTCCTCGTCGCTGCTCACCGTAACAGACAAAGGTAAGTGGTGCTCAAAGCTGACAGCAGAGTTTATCCTTTATACCTTATCCCTGCACCAGCCACCAATTGCATGGGTACTTATGGCAAGCTTCAAAGTTTTCCCCACACACCAATCCAAGAGGGGAAGGTAGCGAGGGCGGACTCATAACAATGAGCATATCCTGGGTAACGGCGCGTATATGCCATATTGTGCCGCTTACGCTCGTTTGCATCACAGATTTGAATTGTGCAAAAGGGTCAAGCAATGCATCAGCCATGAGCATTACCATTACCAAGTCATCGACATCTCCCCATTTACCATTCTGCAGCAGCAGCAGCAGCAGCAGCAGCTCGTACCATTGCCATTGTTATGGTGACCATAAATGTGACACCCGCTCATGTCCACAACAAATCCAGAGTCAATAAAAAGCAGTGGGGAAACCAAACAGCAGCCAACAGATTCACCAGCTTCAGTCGCAGCTTCAATTTCAGTTTCGGTTTTGTGGCAAAAACACAGCAGGAGTGATGGAAAGGGGCAAGGGAACACGACAGCGACACTGCAAATCACAACACGAAAAATGTTGTGTTGACTTTTGTGTTATTTTTATCGCATTTTAGTTGGCCACTGCTTGCTTCTTGCCACTTTCTCCTTCCTCCCGTGGCTTGTTGATTTTATGGCAGTGCCAGCAGATTTATTAGAAAGAAATGAAATCTTATTTCATGATGTTTATTTAGTTGTGTCGTAAAACGGGAGGAGACGGAACCACAGACAGAACCACACGCTGCCCCGCAGTCGCAGTCGCACTCGCACTCGCAGTTTGCTTTTTGTTTGTTGCCATAATTTGAGCAAATATTTTGGCACTTGTGTTGCTGTTGCTCGGACACATAATTGAGGATAATCGCAGCAGTCCCTCCCTGGAGATGCAGCAGCAGCTGCTGCAACCACAGGACCTTCAGAGCAAAACCACATCCTGTTGTTACCTTGCCACAGGCATTTTTCAGCAACGAGTTTTCTTCTGCAGATTTTTTGAGGGTGCCTCAGGGCACACACATACCAACATAATTCACACACAACTAAAAGTTGGGCAAATGCCTTAATAACTTTATGTGGCAGCTCGTTTCCATTATGCTGCTCCCCAGCCTTCCGCAGGCCCGCCTCTTGAGTGCTCCCTTGAGTTGCAATCGTTTTCGTTTCTTTTTTCCATCCCCCCCTGTGCAGTTTTTCCTCGCTTGCAGCTTGTCGCATGCAGCACTTGGCGACTCTTTATTGTTTCAGGCTCGTTCGTTCGTGTATGCTTTTGCCACTTTTACGGGCTGCAAATGTCAAGCGCCCAAAGGTGAAAGCACAAGGTGCAACTGTGCGTATGAGCAATGCAGAAAGAATAGTCAACCAGCCAGGCAGCCAGCAGAGCGGTGTGTGCAGAGCAGAGCCTTTGTCCTTGCTGCGCTGCTCTGGCTGGCTGGCTGTCCTCCCCACCTTCTGTGACTGTGACTAATGCACCGCGACTTTGTTTCCCGTGCCACACATAAAACAGTTGCACCATTTTCTCAAGGGTGAAACATATACACACACACACACACAGGTGCAGTCTCACGCAGACTAACGCAAATAAATGTGAGGATAAGTGCAGGCAACAGCAAAGGAGAGCGCCGTGTTTGGGAGTTAACCGAAAATGCCGATACCCTAGGGCAGGTGGAATTTCTCTGAAGATTGAAGAGTTATGCAGGTGGAAATTTCTCTTCACTTGGAGTGCTGTCTGCACCGATATGCCCTCCATCCCTTGCTCTTTTAGGGTATTAAAAGGCTTCACTTCTGACTGCTTTGCTGCTGCTTCCAACTTGAGTTTAAAATTTACTTCGCAGCTGGAAAAAATATATTCCTACAATTTATAGCATTTATCACGAATCCCCGAGTCCCCGACAAATAATTCAATTTAGAAAACTTTCTATTTTCCGGTTAATTTCGATGGCTGTCGCTGAATTTCCGCTGATAATAATAATTGAATTTATCGCATTTCGTGGCCAGCTGTCTGGCTGTGGCAGAGCAGCATATGAATTATCTGAACTGTTGGCTAATTGAACTAGACTTAATGCCACGCCTCGTTTCCACGCTGTGTGCAGGGGAGGGCTGGCATTGTGGTCAGTGCTGGGTGGTGGTGAAAATCAACAAGTTTTCTTTTATGGGCGCCCTTTAGTTGGCTCGTAAATTGATTACATGACTTACTCCCTTTTCTCTCTCTCATTCTCTCTCTTTGTTTTCTGTCCTCTTTTCAAAGTTAATAAAATGTCGCCACGCCCCTCGCTGGTGCCGACGGATGCGGACACAAGCGGCAGCTACGGCTCGCCCAGCTATCAGCAGCAACAACAGCAGCAGCAGGAGTCCGGCAACCAGAACAACAACAACCACAGCACGACAACAAGCGGCAGCGGTGGAGGCGGGGCAGCGGCCAAACAAGAGCCCGGACGCAGAGCTGGCGCCTGCAGGGTGTGCCTGAAGTCCTTCAAGCCGGACGACTACCACAAGACGTGCTTCGAGTGCCAGCAGCGGGTGTGCGAGGATTGTGCCAGCTACAGCAAACTGGACGAGCACGAGGATGCGGTAAGTGCCCAGGGACAAGCCAGGGAGGGACAGGCAAGAGACTTCCAGGCCACTAGGCAATGTCCTGCCCAGTGGCAAAAATAAACATAGAATGCAGCAACGGAAGCAGCAGCGGCGGCACTTAATTAATATGAAAATATGTATGCAGGAGTGGAGTGTCTGCATTCAACGATTGCGAAAAGGGGTGCCACAAATTAGATTATCCAGCGTGCAACAATAACCATTCACCATGGGGCATTAACAAGATAAAAGCCGCATTAACGAGATTAAATGGCCCCAGCCGCATGCCGCGCACAGCCTCTGGCCACCCCCAAGAAGGTTGCACCTTCGCCTTGTGTGGGAGAGCATCTGTCAATACTTGCCGCATAATGATCATTGATAGGCAGAACACAAGCCGCCAGCCAGTCGGCAACATTGTCTTCACTTGTGGCAATTTGTCAAGGAGGTCGAGCGGGCGACCGAGCGACCAACCGCCAATGCCAACAGCCAACCGCCAACGCCCTGAACATAAAATTTAACGTTTGTCTGTCAACCTGGCCACTTTGGCTAATTGAAATTGATGTTCATGGGCGTCATGAACACAGTCACACATACACACCCATACACACAGAGAGGAAACAGAGCCGTAATTATGGGCCTGGTTGCGGTGCTCTGGCTACGCCCTGGACATTTAGCAGCTGCCTTGGGTGGCCCGGGGGGCTTTGGTGGATATGTATGAAATATTCATTTAAGCCGGCATACGAACTCCCCAGTCATAGCCGAGGATAATGGATAATGGTCTCGTTCTCTCTCTTTGTCAGAGATTCATTTGTTCGTAAAGGAGAGAAACCATAAATATTTCTGACTGTCTCTTTGTGGCTTAGTTTTGCCAGTCTCTCTGGCTCTCTGTCTGTCTCTCTGCTGTGAATCGATTATGAGATTTATAAATTAAATCTTAAATGTTGCACATCCTTCGTTGGCTCGTTGCCTGCGTTGCTATTCCATGTCCTGTGGGCAAGTTTGAAATAACTTTTCAGTCGATTTCTCAATGGGATCATGAACTACTAGCACACACTGCGATACACACTATGTAATTACATTTTCGCCTGCAACCTGGGGGGAAAACAAAAGCAATAAACCAAAGCCAGAGCCAGAGCCAGAGCCGCCTGCTGGCTAGCTGGCAGCTGCGTTCGCCTACGCTACGGCTACAGTGCGGGCCAAGCGCATAGCACCTGCAACTTAATTAAAACGGCGACAGTTGCCGCTATGCGCTGCCCGTGTGTCAGCCAATAGTGTAGCGACACATGACGACGATTGAAGCCGTGCTGTGGGGCCAGCGCAGTCAGCTGGAAGCTGTAACGAGCATTGTGTGCGGGCGTTGGCGTGTGTGTGGATGTGTCTGCGGAAGTGGAAAGTGGCAAGTGCAATGCATGGCAGCGTGTAGCATGAAGGTTGAGAGGCAGCCGCAGTGACCTTCCTCGCTGCGCTCCCATCCTCCTTTTGCTCTGCTGGAAATTGAATTTGCCCGTGCAACGATGTGCCACAACTTTTTGTTCAGAAAGTAATTAATATTTATTTTCGCGTTGCCACAGGCAGCACAGCGAGAGCAGGTAACGGTAACTGGCCATAACATAATGGGCAACTTTTACCAGCAAACAGGAGGAGGCGCAGTCCGCAAATAGATTTTTTTTAGTGTTTGTTGCGTCGCTTAGCCAACAGTTTTAATTAACGTTGCGTATACTTGATGTTTCTTTCCCTCTTTCTTTTAGACCATGTGGCGCTGCAGCGTTTGCCGCCGCAAGATGGCCTCACGCGTCTGCATACCGCAGGATTCGACGGACTCGATGCTGGATGTGCCCGTTATGGAGGCGCTGCAGCGTCGCCACTCGGACGCCAAGCTGGGCAGCAGCACCCAGACCCTAGCCCCAAGCAACGGGGCAGCATTGGCACCGCCACGCAGTCCCGAACTGCGGCGACACTCGGACGTTTCGCCCGCCTCCCTGAAGGAGTTGGAGCGGGTAAGTTTTGCCAGCTTTATGGCCTGCCATCAGCCGAACATTAAGAACTTTTCACCAACTTTAATAATTTCCTGCGTGTGCCCTTTGCAGCAGCTAAAAGGTGGCCGCAGCATGGCGCCCAGCCGCTCCAACAGTCCACCGCGCGGCGATGGCCAGGAGCCGCCGTTCGGAGCGCCCCTATCGCGCATGCAGTCCAGGCGCGGCTCACGGGTGGCTCGACAGCACAGCTACGACGATGACATGAAGACGGGCCCCGTGGGCGGCAGCATGGGTGGCGGTGGCCCCGCGTTGGGCATGGCAGCGGATGGTTCCGGCCTGGGCATACCAGCAATGCCGCGCAGGTAAGAGAGATAGAAGCCTCGTAGATAGTCAGGGGCACAGCCATCCTCACACTCGATTGACTCCGACCCACAGAAAGTCCGCCTACGATGTGTTTGCACCGGGACTGGTCCAGGGCGGAGTGTCGCCGGGCGGCGGCGGAGGAGGCCAGCAGCAGCAGATGCAGCGTTCGCCGTGCGATGGTGGCGGCATTATGCCACCCATACAGTTGCCCGGCTCGCGTAGACCCTCGTTCCGGGTGCCGCACCCATCGGAGGATATACAGAACGATGATTCGCCCGGCTCGCCGGACCATGGAAGCCCCGTGCTGACGGTAGACGACGACAGACGCATGCGACGACGCGGCTCACAGCTGTAAGTAAACGGGAAAAGACTTTCCGCTGGCTCCCAGGGACTCAAACGTAATTTCTTTCTCTCTTTTCCTTACGGCACCAGACCCGACATTGCAATGCTGCAGAATCGCGGCGCTTTGCCAGCGGTGCCGCCTTCCTCGATTCCGCCACCGATGGCTGCGTTCACGGGCCCCAATCTGGAGGATTTGGAGGCGCCACGCCGTCAGACCTCAATGGATGGCGAGGCCATACGCATTGTAATACACGACGTGGATTCGGGACCGATTTGTGCATCCAAGCGGCGCATCATACTGCGGCGGGATCCCACGGATAAGGCGCACCGCAGTGAGTGAAAGCTTACATCCGGGTTGGGGGATTTTACCTCAATGTCTGTCCGAGTAATTGTGGGGGTGTTGGGCAGGGGTTTTGGCCATTTTAGGAGAGATGTGCCATCCGGCTTGGCCTTTGGCTTGGGCTTTGGATTTAGTTGATGTGCTGCCACTTCCTTGCCACACCACACCGGAAATGGCCAAGTAAACAGGACTCATTACAACGTTTGGTTATGCTAATTCAACAGGACGACGACAGCCAAAACGACCGACAGAATGGCCAAAACCGACGACCGTTTCCTGTCATCTCCCTAGACCTCTCTGGTGACTCTGTGGCTCTCTGTGTGGGCTCTTTGGCTCTCTGTGGGTCGCTCCTTTAATTCCCCCCCAAACAAAGTGCACGACGGGAGCAGGACAAGGAGTGGTGGGGTGTGCACAAGGGATAATGTGGTTGAGGCCCCCGTGGGCCTTAATGAAACCCAAAGCGGAAGCAAAACTGGTAGCAGATTAAGCAACTGAGCGGATTTTATCGACATAAAGGCACACCGACCGACCAAAGGCTCAACGCTCTGATGGGAGCGGCTCTGCTCTGCCAGTGCACTAGTCCTGGCAAGGACATAGCCCCATACATATATGTACGACATTTAGCAGCTCGGCATTATTGGACCCTCTTTTCCCAACCCCCTGCCTGGATGTCCGTATCTGTGTGCTCTCTGTGTTTCCTCTCCTGGTCCTGGTGGAGCGGGTTTTAATTATATGCATTTTTTTGTTGCATTCCTCAAGAGTCAAGCCAGTCTGCAGCCCAAATGAATTTTTAATTATCGGGCCGTACAAAAATCAATTCGGGAAATATCCATGGCCACTGCCAGAGCAGTGCGGGAGGGAGGAAGGGAAGCGGCGCTATTAGAATTCCAAAGAATATTCAAATAGAGCGCATAAAAAGTGTACGTAAAAATATCGAAGCAGAAATTGTTGGCCAGCAGCAGCAGCTACCAAATGCCAATGAGAAATGCCAGTGGAGAGGAAAGTTTATGCCTTGCTGGCCATAAATAATAAGGCTCACACGTACATGATGTGTTTGTGGATGTGCTGGCCAAAATGCATGCATGGCCCAACACGAATCGAACACTTTTGCTCTGCACTCGAAAGCCGTAAAAAACTGGACAAGCATCGCAGGCTCAGGTCCAACCTTAAGAGTGAAAAATGCAGCTGAAAATATAAAAAATACTAGGAGGAAAACTGCCAGCAAAAGTGGCGAAAGGGAAAGGTGGAAACGTGGAAACGTGGCAAAGGGAAAGGTGAAACGGTGTAGCAGTAAGAGTAGGAAATTGATTTTCCCCAAGTTAGCTACCAACGCATTTCATTCGATCAGGGTTCGGGTTACATTTATGCCAGGAATCCCTAGTAGAATATTCACAGAAAACTATCTACAAGGCCACCTCTGAGCTCGTCTTAATTCGCTTAGAGCATGAGGAGCATCAGACATACGCCTGAACCAACAACAGCAGGAGAAGCAGCAAGCCAAGAGCAGCAGCAAAAGCAACAACAGCAACAACCTCTTGCCCCAGCTCCTAACGAGCGCCTATAATTCCAATCAAAATAACTAGCCGCTGGCTGGCTGACTGGCTGACTGGCTCACAGAGCACACACACAGAGACTTGTTTCCCCCTTTTTTTTTACCGACAGTTAGTCACCTGTGCGACGTGCGCTTGCTTATATAAAATTTCAATTTGCATATCATAAAAAAAAATGTCAATACCCAACAAATGCGTATAAGCATCAGAGTATCCGAGCGTCAAGGAGGAGAGTCTCAGGCCGCAACTGCAGCACATGACTTGCTCGGCGTATCATGAGTTAAGCCTCTACAACCCCCAACCGACTTGCCGTACAGATTCTGTTGTCTATCCGTGGCTGTGTGGCTGTGGCAGTGGCTGCTGCTGCTTACCCGGCATATTTGATATGCAACGAAGCAAGTGGAATTTTAATGTGCGAAACCATTTCCTTGGCTGCCGCTGCCGCTGCTGCTGCTGCTGCTGCTGCTGCTGCTGCTGGTGGTGGTATTTGCTCGATCCCCAGCCCACATCCTTATCCGTATACCACCTGAGACGCTGGTCGCGTCTTCTCTCTCCCCGTTGCCCTGTGGCTTAACCACAAGGACTGGCAACCTGCTGCACACGACGCACCCATGCAACATGCACATGCAGGAGGCTGTGGTTGTGGCAGCTGTGCTGCAATTTGCCTTGATATATTGACTGGTGCAAGGTTGTGGCAGGATGCCGAAGGAAGTACAGAGAGCACACACACAGTACAGCCAGATGTGGGCCTTGTAATTTGAAATGCCGAACATGGTGCACATTTTTTTCTTGTTCTTGCTGTTCTCTGTGCGTTAACATTCATACGGGAGCGGTGCCCGTAATTAGCAGCTGCACTCGACTAATGGAAGGGTTTAATTAGGGTAACGCGATGGCCATTCATCCATCCATGCAGTGCAACAGCCAGTGGCAAGTAGTGGCTGATTCGGTTGCTGTTCCTGCTACTGGCGAATGGGGCATGTAATTGAATTGTTTCCTGTTTCCCGTCAGCCATTCGACTGTGCCTTCAATTATGCAACAGTTTAAGTGTTTGCCATGGCAACTGTTAATCGGCTTGCCGAGGGCAGGGGAATGGGGCGCCCCCACAGGATGCGAAAGTGTAGCACGAAATGGCGCCTTAACACGCCTAATGAAATTTTATGCAGCCTCACTTATACACAAACACACAGAAACACACACGCGTCCACTCTCACATTCACATTTATTACTGCAAATCACGAAAGTGGAGGACCGACTGCGACTCTCTGGCATTGCGTGTGTGCCCACGACTGTCAACAGGTGACCCACAGCAGAGACCTCTAGCAGTACTCACCACAGTCCTTAGATTTCCACTTGAGTGCCTTTTCATAGTCCTGCCACATGAGGCGAGCAGCGGGCACACTTTAAACGAGCAGTTTCTTCATGCATGCCAGCCAGCTATGTATCTTTCAGGAGTTGGTTTAATTTTGCCAGAGCGAGCTCTCCATTTCCCTCCGCTCCCTCTCTCGCTTTGCCTCTAGTTTAATTAAGACTCAATTTTTATGACAGCCGATAGAAGCCACTAACGCTCATGACGCCTCCGCAGGAAGGATGCACACACACAGAGCCAGAGGAGAAGCAAGAGCGAGGTGCAGGTGCAACGTGCTGAGGTGTCCATCGATTAAATCCTTCAATGTGTGTATGTCAGCTAAAAGTTTGCTCTGTTAATGTCATTACTGAGAATGTGGAGCTCTGCGTCTCTGTGTGTGCGAGTCCCTGGCCAAGGTGCAAATTACAAACTTGTCAAAGAATCCCGAGCGAAACTTTAAACTTTTTCAACCTGTTCAAACTCCCAGTTCCATGAAGAGTTCTCCGTACCATGTTCTGCCAGTGACTCTTCTTCCTGCCGCCAATGCCAATATGTTGGCATTGCTGCACCCCTCGCATAACAAAAGGAAATGGTTGCTACAAATAACCAAAGGAATAACCCAGCAACCCCTTGGACCCTTGAAAGACCATAAACAATGCTCGTAACACCTTTTCTCTGTGTGGTGTGTGCCGGTGTGGCTGACTCCCACTCGTTTGGCTTATTAAATCCCAATGATGGCCACATAAAAAAATAACTGAGCATCCGGCAAACAAATTGTATCGTAAAAGCCGGCCAGGCAGGGCAGGGAAATGGACATCCCGTGGGTGGCTGGTCAGTCGCCACAATGAGACAAAAGACTTTACACAAAAAATAGCCAAACAGCCAGAGCCGCGCCGCACCTCAGCTCTGCTCTGCCTGCTCATGATTTTTATGACCAAAACGAATCGAAAATTTCACTCAGCGACGCACATTTCGTGCATGTTAAGTGCCGGCTCAGTAAAGGAAAATAGCTACAGCAGCAGGAAAAGAAAGAAAAAAGTGGCACACAGTCGTGGAGTGTGTCCCGTGCCGCAAACCAAAAACTGTTGCGTCATCGAATGAATAATCTGTGGCAGAGGTTGTGGCTGCGGGAATTTTCTCTACTTTTTTCTTCGCTTTCCTGCGCTGACAGCAAAAGGATTTGCGTTTTTATTTATAAGATTTTTATTGTCGTCTTAGGGCCGGTGTGGGTGGCAGCAAAAAGAAAACAACTTTTGATTAAAACACACCTTCAACAAATAAGGGGGCAGGGGGGTTTGGGATGGAGATGTTGCCTTATCCCCTAATTGGGTATCAATGCGCCTGAATCAACAGCAATGTGCGGATGCGCAACATTTTATTGCATACTTCTGGCACAAGTTTGCCGCCATTTCCGGCGCTCAAACTTGGACCTGCCATAGCTGGCTGGCTGTATGTCTGTATGGCTGTCAGGCAAGTCCTCCACGTCCTTCCTGCTCACCTTGGCGACACAATTTCATTGTCATCGCGGATGCTGCTGCTGCCTGCTCCTGCCCTTCCCCTCCTCCTCGTTCCTGGTTAACTTTCTTAGCCATTGTCTGCAGCAAGCGCTTGAATGTCGTGACTGTCGTCCCAGGGCCTCGAGGCCACAGTCGCCAGCGAGCGCCGGAAATCCGTTTTCCCCCAAGTTTTCGGTGCACAAATTGTTGAAATTAGTTTTCTGTGCCCCGAATGATAAGTACCTGGAAACTGAACTGAATACTGCACAGGCGTGTGCACCCAACCTTCCCCCGCACTCTGCCACCCCTGAATTGCAATTTAATTAATTAAATTGTTTGGATTTCGGCAGGGAAATTGATTCAGTGCACAGGTCTCTCCCCCGTCCATTTGGCACACTTAAAGTGCAATAAATGTCGATAAACCTCAAAGACGACGAGGGTCAGGCATCGGGCCAAAAGGGGCAACAGCGGTCAAGACCGCACAAGAACAAATAAATTTGTGCCAAGCATTTTGGGGAAAAATTCTCAACAAATATATACAGCAGCACATCCATTCATCCTGGGAGGGACTGTGCAGACAGCAAACGAGAGCGGACACGTTGACTAAGCAGAAAAACTTGCCAGACACTAGGGGCGGGGGCGCAAACAAGACCAAATACTCCTAGACAACAGGGCGTAGACGCAACGTTTCTGGAGGATGGTAGACTGTGAGCCGGCCACTACAAAGTGCAAATGAAATCAACGCAAATTGTTGCCACATGCCCGAAATTTGTAGCCTGCCCCAAAACGTGTCGGCGGCAAGCCACAAATTTGCTCCTTCAAGCGGCGGCACTCTCTCTTTTGATTATTCTGCTCTTAGCTTTTCTTTCTGTCCTGTTTTGTTCTGCTTTTTTTATACATAATCACTCGAGTGCTGAGTGCTGAATCTTATTATATTTGACATTGTCTATTCCCTGCAGCACGTGGCTTTGGGATGCGCGTCGTCGGTGGCAAGACCGGTGCCGATGGCCGACTCTTTGCGTACATTGTGTGGACAGTGCCGGGCGGAGCTGCCGAGAAGAATGGCCTGCAGCAAGGAGACAAGGTGAGTGGAGTGGTCACACAAAGGGTATATGGGGAAAGGGTAGGGGCAGGGTTTTAGGCTGAGTGAGCAGCTAGTAGCAGCGCTGCCACAATCGAGTGGTTGGGGGCGGCACACCGCAGAGAGCAACGCTGACTACCAGCAGATGATGCCTGTCAACAGCTAAAGCCCAAAATGAATATCCCAATGATTGATGATAGATGATTTGTGTATTTCTGCTCTCATTTTGAATACCAAAACAACATTCACCCACACCACCCCCTTACAGATACTCGAATGGAATGGCATGTCCCTCATCGACCGGAGCTTCGAGGAGGTCTGCTCCATTATGGATCGCACCGGGGACGTTGTGGAGCTGCTGGTGGAACACGCCACCGATTTTCGTATGTGCGATCTCTTCGATGAGAATCTGCCGCCGGGCAATGCCGGTGGACAGAGCGGACCACGACGTTCGGGCGATGGACCCGTTGGCCTTGGCCTCATTGCGGGTAAGCTCACGCTTCGACTTTATCTTTATCTAAGCTCTCTGTCCTTTACATTGTTGTGTATATAATGTGTATGTAAACATCTCTCTGAAATTTACATAATTTTTTCATTTGTTGCTCTCTCGTTTCTTGTTAAAAACCCGCAAAAATGTATGAAAATGTGAAAACAGAACCCGAAACCACCACAGACAAATCACCAGCATCGCCCACAAGACGGAAATTACCAAAAACTCCGGTATAAAACTATTTTGTTTTATTCATTTTTGCATAAGAGAAGGCCTCGGGGGTAGCAGCACTCCAGTGTGAGAGTTTGCAGCCCGAAAATATATATTTAAAATATATAGAAAATATAAAAGAACAAATGATAAATATTACTATATATACGCATACCATACTACTACTTACTACTACTACATACCTAAAAGTACATGGCTATTAAATGCAGCTTAAGCATTTGGCAGCAGTTTTTAACCCCTCCCCACCATACACACTCACACTCACACTGACACACACATACGCGTTTTCAGCTTTTCACAAAATGCGCTCACGAAAATGCATTGAATTCTCTTTCTCTCTCGCAACTGATTGCAGCTTCAAGGCTATTTAAATATATGAAAATTCACCCAAATTTTTGACCCACTGATAGCCAGCTATCAACGATAACAGCTCCATTGGTACTCCCGTTTTCCTTTCGTTTTTTGGCCACACATTACTCGTACATGTAAACCAGATTTTAAACCAGTAGCTAAAGAAAAGAAAAAACCAAAAATTTACTTGATTTCGATGTGTGATTTTTGTTTTGAGTTGGATTTATGTTCAGTTGGTTTATTAACCATAACAAAAATGGATAAATTAAATGTGTTCATTGCTATTTTTCTGTCATTTATAACCACAAGATGTACTTAACATACTCGTATATATTTTATTTTATCGGTGTTTTGGTAGTAAACTTAGTGATTTCGAAAGAGAATAAAAACAAATACATATATTACGTGTATGCCCAACTAATCGTATGTAGATACATGGTTAAAAATAAGCAGACAAAAACACTACTAAACTTAGTCAGACAAAGCGAGAGTTCAGATATGCTCAAAGATATACTCGTACTCGATAGATTATACTCGTTCCTTGTTTCCATAAAATCAGTTTTTGAAACCTTTTGTTGAACATTCTTCTTGCCTGTGGGGCAATCGAATTGCCCGGCAGCTGCAAACACCGTAAGAACAAGCACCAAAAAACAATAGAGTTTTAAGCGATGATGAAAATATCTACATGTGTAGCATTTTAACTGATAGTCGGATAACTGATAACTAGCATTCGTGTCTACTACATACATACAACCATATATTCGTGTTGATAACACAACCCTCTTGCGCCTATGCCGAATATACGATATCTATACATACATAATTATAGTAATGCCGCTTGTGTAGACCAGCAAGTACTCTTAGGCTCTACGAATTGATACAATAATAACTAAGGAACACAGGAGAATTATTATGAAATGTACTACAACAAAAACAACTACTACTACTACTACTACTTAATAATTACCCCGCCAATTGATGAATCGTGTCTGAGTGCGGTCTCAGCTGGGGTCGCTATATACTTGAAATAGATAAAACAAAAATCTTTATAAATGTTATTTAGTGCAAATTTGTAGCAAAACAGAGTTTAACAATATTTGGGTGTGTGTTTTAAATGTTATTGAATTTATGATAATTAGTAAGACAAACAAAAAACGAACGAAAAAACAAAACAAAACAAAAAAAAATAATAATACAAATTGAGAAAAAAAGAAACCACAAAAACAAAACATGAAAAAATACCAGTAGTTTGTTGTTGAAATGTTTAAATGTGTTTTTAAGCCACAAAAAAAAGAACATCCAAGAAATGCTACTATTTACATACATACATACATATATGTATACATATGTAGATGTATACCCGTTTGTATACGTTTATGTTGGATGTACGACCCCCCAGTTACATACATGCCTACATACTCGTATTATATGCCATCTGTGTGTGTTTTTTGAGTGTGTTTTGTTGTGGTACACCTGCATACATATGGCCATTGTTAGTGATGTGTTTTGATGTGTTTGTAACTGTTGAAACGAAGGCAAAAGCGAACTCTGTGGAGAGAGCCCACCTACCTAAACATGTTTAAGAAACTAAATAGAAAGAGAAGTAGAAAAAAAGTCGAAGAGAAGAGGAGTAGAAAAGAGAGTAGAGAAGCGTAGCGAATGAGGCAGAAGGCAAACTGAATTGACTCGTTAAACATTAACTGAATGAATGAATGAATGGCTTTTGTAGCTGTGTAACTCCTGTCAGATGGGTGATAACATTTAACTTGATTTCGATTTCGATCACACAGACACCACGATAACACTTTTTGTATAGCCCCACGCCACACCACACCACACCACACCACACCACGAAATGAAAGCGAAAGCGAAACTCGAACTGTATCTGTAATTGTAACTTTAACCCTAAATATACATTTAAATGTAACTTTAACATTAACTTATAACTGGTAACTGTAACTGTGTATTATGTGCTAAATTTATAAACCTTTACAAACAAATCCAAGCTCCTAAAGCTTTGTATGTGACGTGACGCAGGTGAAGGTGCAAAAAGGCAAGCAAAAGTCCCCCCCGAACTGATGGTACTGATGGCACCCACCCCACCCATTTTTTTTAGATTACTAATTAACGTAATGCCAGGGACAGCCATGGCTGTGGCTGTAAGGTTTGCAGCTAATTTTGAATGGTGCAGAAAGCCAAACTAACAAACTTTATCTACGGTGTAAATGTGTACATTTACACGTAAGCAAACAAATGCTATACGCTATACGATACACCCACTCTATATATACATAACATGCATACAACATACATACATACATTTATCTACCATATACATACATCCAGTTACATATATGTATATGTATATTAGTCTCTAATGCGTATGTATACCAACAATGTGCTAGCAACCTAAATCTAAAACTAATTCTACAAAAAATCTAACAAGCGAAAAGACAAGCAAAAGAAACGTGAAAAATAAAGTCTCTCTATTTAACTGCAAAACAAAAACAGAGCTCGCATTCGAAATCCCTGTCTCTGGACTTAATCCTTTCGCACAGCAGCAGTTGCAGCAGCATCAGCATCAGCAGAATCGTTGACCCGTCGTCCCAGCCCCCACACCTGACTGAAGCCATCAATCTCTAATGGTAAATGAAACAAACAGCAACTCGTAACACAAGTACTCCTCTGTACATTCAGCATCCCCCTCTCTATACGCTATATACCCGATATACTCTATATATACCCATAAACTGTACAGTTTTAGCGCACCCAAACTACCCGCTAGAAAACTAATGAAAAAACAAGACAAAACAAATAACAGAGAGTAATAATAATGATACCTATACAGTGATTCCAGTGTAATATAGCTAGGCTCCTACAACTCGTATAAGCTATACTGTAATGTCCCTTCCCCAAACCACTAACCACTAGCCCCCAATCGAGATTGTATTGTAAAGTGCGCTGCTTTCTTTCATTTTTACTTTTACTTTTACTTTATGTAAGGCTTTCATTTCATTTCATTTCTCTTGTTCTGGTTCATGCCTTTGGTTTCATTTCGTTTCGATTGTTACGCTCTTTTTTTCTGCCGCTGCCGCTGCCGCTGTGCCGTGTCCGTGTCTCCGTCTCTGTCCCTCCTGTATACAATTTCCACTTTCACTTTCACGTTTCCTTCTCCTGTCAATTTATGAGCTTTTGTTTGGCTTTCGCTTAGCAAATGTTTACCTTTACTTTACTCTTCCTGTTCGTTTCGTTTCTTTTCGTTTGGTTTCCTTTCCCTTCGATTTGTTACGTTTCATTTCTCTCTTTGGTTTTTGCTTTGCATAATACACCCGACTTTGACTCTTTAATTATACCACTCTCTATCAATAGGAACTATAGTGTTGTATTTGCTCTACACTCCTCATCCTTCGAAGTGAAGAACCCTGTACCATACACACACAAACACACACTGTCGTCTTTTTTCTGCAACGAAAAACCAATGCCTAGATGCCTTTTTGTTGTTTTTTGCATTTGGCTAATTTGCCGAAACAAAAGCCCATTGTGCGGTAATGTAGCCATGATATTAATGTACATAAATGATGAAACAGCAGGCCAATCAAGCTGATTGATAGCTGCTGGTCCATTGGCAGCACTTACAGGGTATTTCAGTGTCGCAAAACAAGAACAAAACACCACACGACACAATGTTTGAGTTAAGTTTTTGGATTTTTGCCTGATTTGCGATTTAATTTGAGTTTTGTTGAGTGGATTTTCCTCTTAGATTTCTTCACGTTTCTGTTGACTAGTTTTGGTTTGCATTTTCAATTAATTTGCATACAACTAACGCCTAAGCCTACGAATTTGTTTTTGAATAGCATTTAGTGGCTCTTGAAGCGTGTCTTGAACCGATATTAGCATTTCTCCTAAACGACTTGCGATTAAAAATACTATATAAATAAACAAACAAACTCAAACTCAAACTCAACCTACAAACAAACCCACACACTTACCTACTACTTAACTTAACTTACTATATGCTATAATTGTATTATGAACATTGAACTCAATTTTCATTTCCTGTGTACAAAACCAAATGTAACCCCAGCTGGCACGAGTTATGGCTATAAACAGATTTAAAATAAACAAAACAAAATAACTTTAACAGAAAACCAGAAAAACTGAAACAGGAACCGAAAACTGAAACGAAACCTGCCCTAAAATTTGAAACTGAAACAGAAAACAGAAACGAAACCCGAGTAAAAACCAAAATGAAATAATATATGTACAAAAACAAAACAAAAGAAATTAAACAACAACCGAAAGTATTTTATGACTGTCAAACAAATCGATTGCAGCGTGTGATTGAGACCTAATTATGAGCTATGCTGCTTCCAGCTTAACCCAACGGCCCGCAACCCACGCCATGCGTTTGATTGATAGATTTTTATTGAATGTAATGATATTATTTGTACAATTTGCATATGAATTTTAACCACTCACTCGGTAGCTGTAGTTCGTAGTCTCGTATTGGTAATTAATTCCATTTGTTCTTTCTGTAAATAAAATGTTTGTGTGTTTTGTTTGCCATATGGAATATGTGTACATATATTTGTGTATGCTGTATATCATTTTACAGTATATATGTATGTATGTGTGTGTTTATGTGTCGTATCTGTGTATGTGTCTATCCTTTGCTGCCATGTTTTAATATTCATGCCGCGAAAACTTTTCCGTCACTTTGAGTTACCTTTTTGCAGCGCGCGAGGCAAATTCGAATAGAAGTGGCATAAAATGGAAACCGCAATATTCCTCTAGACTGGCGCGAAGTTTGCAGCCCAACGAAGACCCAAAACCGTTTCTTGTTGTTGTTGCTGGGCAGGTGTCAAGTTGGCGTGTGAGTTTTTCATTGGCAGAGCCACCTGCCTGTCGGGTCTACAGCAACAGGTGGAGTTGGGGTTGGGTGTCCTTTCCTGTCCTGTCCTGTCGCCCTTTAATTGACAGCTGGGAGACATAAAATGCTCAAAATGTCGAAAATTAGAAAACTTTTAACAACAATTGGTGGAACGCCCAACCGTCCGTCCGTCAGCCTGGTGGGAGCCTTCATCATTATGATTATCGACAGGCACAGGGAGGCACATATTTTAAGTCTGTGTTCTGGCATTGGAAAGTTTTCAAGTGCTTAGGCTTTTATCGCTCCAACACTGGCTGTGGCTGTGGCTGTGGCACTGGCTCGGCCTGATGCCTGATAAACTCCAATAATCCAGCAAGTACATGTGCCTGCTTACCTGGAGATAAAAATAAACGCGCCATCGCCCCCGCATCCATCTCGGTCTCCATCTCCCTCTCCTCGTGCATCTCCACTCTTGTGGCTTATAAACAGTCCCGACACGAATTCGATTTCCACAGATGAGCGACAGAAGTGGGCGTACGGGCGGTAGGCGGCATAACGTAATAATTTTCGTCTCTTTTTTTTTGGGCATAAAAAGTTATCGAGCAACAGTTCGCAGTTGGCAATGATGCAGCAGCAGCAGTAGCAGCAGCATGTGTGTGGTGGTGTGGTGTGGTGTGGCATGGTGGTGGTTGCCGCGTGTACGAGCTCCATTTCCGTTTCGGTACACGTTATTGCAATATGGCGGCTTCCGCTGCTGTTGCCGCTGCAGAGAAAGTCAATTCATGGCTGGCTGCTAGTATTTGTTCTGTTTTAGTATGTGTGTGGGTGCGCATGTACACGCTATGAATATGTTATATGTGGATGCCACGCCATTACCAACGGGCACACATACAGCCAGTCTGCAGTCCATAGGCTACCAGCGAGAGCCCGTTGCCACTGGGCCACTGTGCGGCAATGACTTCCGTTTTGGCGGGGGGATCGAGACCATGACCATGCCTCTGCTGTTGGTAGTGTCACACCCCACGATAGCAGATTGCATTTGTGGTGCTCCGCTTTTTTGTTTATCTGTAGATGTGTCTGTGTGTGTGGAGCTTTTGTTTAGGAAAACACATGTGCAATTTCATGCTGCCGCTTTGTTTACCTTTGCCTGAGTATTAGTGTCTGCCTGTGTGTGTGTGTGTGGCAGCATCATAATTTGCATTATATTTATGTGTATCTCTGCGCATTGTTCGTGGCATGCCCCCTGAGGCGGGGGGAGCAAGTGCACTGCAATTTATATGGCATGCTTCAACCATCTATGTAGCTCTCTCGCTCGCTCTCTCTAGCTCTATCTCGCTCTCTGTTGATTTTGCTTCGTTTAATTTAGTTTTTATTTGCGTTTTGATTGCTTTCATTTCGTTGTTCAGTTTATGTACACAAACAAAAAGCACACACCCAAAAACACACACACCTCACACATACACAACTAGAAGGCGAAACATTTGCATAATTGAGACACCGAAAAACAGCTGTAAATAGGCAAGAAAAGACGACAGACAGTCGTGCAGTTTGCTGCTTCTTTTGCTTAGGCTTTAGACTTTAGGCTGATTGATGAACTCCCATACGAATACTTATACCCTACAAATACACCACATAAATAGTAGAACAACTTCCATAGAAGCAGGCACACCCTGTCTCTGTCTCTGACTCTCTCTCTCTCTGTCTGCCTGTTTTTCTCTTTCCTTACTAATGAGCTTCTCCCATCCGCTGCAGGAGCAAATTGCACGCGAGAAAATGGTCTCGGGACGTGTCCAGATTCAGGTCTGGTATCACGCAGAGCGGCAGGAGCTGGTCGTCTCGTTGATGGCCGCCGATGATCTGGCGCTGAGGGATGAGGCATACGGGCACGGCAATCTGCCGGAGGCATATGCCAAGGTCCGCATACTGCCCAAGTGGTAAGTGATTTTAATGCCTCATAATTCCTTTTCAATCTGCCATAATTCATCTTCCATTTTCATCCTCACACTCTCTCGTAATCCCTCTGCAGCGGTGATGGCAGTGTGCAACAGACGGAGGTCAGTCGACCCACACAGAATCCAATTTGGAATGCGACGCTGACATTTGGCCATGTCAAGGCCGACAGCCTGATGGATCGCTATATAGACATACAGCTGTGGGATCTGGTGCCGCACACCGAGTCCATATTCCTCGGCGAATGCAGCATCGAGCTGCAGCAGGCCTTCCTCGACGATCAGGCCATCTGGTGCCGGCTGGACGATATGAAGGGACTGCGTGGCATCAGCATGAGCAAGTCGCCGAGCGTGTCGCCGCGTGGCTCCATTGCCGCAGGCGCCGGGGCACCGTGTGGCGATGTCAGCCGACTGTTGCGACGCGACTACAACATGCAGCGATCCATCTCCGATGAGGTAGACTCCATTGGAGATGGAGCAACGCTGCTGCATCCGGACACCGCGTGGATGGCGGGCTCGCGGCGTGGGTCGTCGCAATCGGAGACCATGGAGGTGGAGGTCTACCAGCTGGGCAAGGACTTCTCGCGCTCATTGCCGGGCTCGCGTCGATCGAGTTTCCAGGATGCCGAAAAGCAGCGGCTCGAGGAGGACGCCATGGCTACGCCACCCACATCGTATCTTGTGGGCAGGCGCCGCTCCTCCGTGGCTCGACGCGATCCGGATGAGATCTTGAAATCCTTGAAGGCTGTCCGCGGCGAACTAGGACGCACCATGAGTCTGGGAACCGAGCAGCACAAGCGCATAGGATCGCGACGTGAGTAGACCAGTTTGATATTACCTAAAGGGGATACTACTAGCTATGGGGATATATAATATTTGGTAGGAGTATGGAGTACTCCTGAAAGCTGCTTCTAACCTTTTATGATTTTTGCCTATATAGGGAGATCTCTCAGCACCCCCTACCCTGGGCGACTATTATGTGTCTGTCTCTTCTCTGCCTCTCTGTCTCTCTGTCTCTCTGTCTCTCTGTCTCTCTGCTCTCTGTGTTTTCCGTACACCTCTCTCTCTCTCTACACTACTTCTCTGCAATTCCCAAACTAATCCTCAACTGTGCCTTGCTGCTAGTTGTGTGTCTCTCATGATAATAATAATAATGATTTATGCCACACAATAGATATAATACGTCTGCGCTGTCACTGCATTGTACACTCTCTCTAGATATATATTTACCACTTGCTCTCTCTATCTCTCTATCCATCTATCTAATGTCTTCTTCCATATCTTTCCCACTATTAGCCACAATATCGGTGTCGCATTATCAAAGCTTTGACACACCCCACCACACACAATGGAAAAAACATTAAACGAGAAATTCACTTTACACACACAATAATTCACTTAAAACAAAACTTAATTTATAACAAAAATCAAAGCAGAAAGAAAGCACTAAATCCACATTTAAATCAACGCCCCACCTTTTGGCACTTTGTAACTTGCTTTTGCATACAAAACTTGACTTGATTTAACTTGATCAAAATTGCCCACACCCAGACTTGCCACACTGCAACATTGCACTCCACACTCTTTCCACACCGTAACACAAAACCCGCCAGCAACCACAGGCAACAGCAAAAAAAAAGGTTGCAGCAGGCAACAGACAAATGTTAACTCTGAAAACTGAATGCTAAAAATACCTTTGTAAATTATACAAGCCAAAAAACATAAAACAATCCCTGCAAATCCCTGGCAACTCCAACTTAAAATGTAAACTGCATTCAAGCAAGACAACAACAGATACATTTAGCAAAACAGAAATAACTAACATCACCACCAACCACCAACCACCAACCACTACATCCACCACTGGTAAGAATGCAAAATGAACTTGAGTTGAGATTGAGTTTGCGTTTGCGTTTGGCATTTTAGTTGCTACTTCTAATACTAATCCGCATAACCCCCAACCCAAACCCCTAAAAAAGAAGCATCCTTGCTGTCGTAATTACTGGAAAGAATATTCCAAGCTCCCAGCTCTAGCTGGAGTTGTTGCATGTTGCCACTTAATTAACGCTCGCTTTCACACACAATTACGCTCTCTCACTTCTCACTTCTCCACTCGCATGCATGTTTAAGAGCGCGTCTCGCATTCGCAAAGTCTGCCAAAATCTTATTAGCACCACAGACACACTGATACACACACAGCAGCACCAAAAATCTACCACTTGATAATCCAGTGTTCCAGTGCCAGGACACACAGGGAAAACTTCTGATGCCATCTTCGTGGCTGGCGTATCTCTGTGGCTCTGTGGCTGGAGCTTATTTAAGCTTATTGATGCTATTTGCACAGCCCCTAAGAGCAGGGAACAGCACAAGTAAAAACGAAAGTAAAATGTTACGAAGAAAAAGGAAAACTCACAACGAAAGGCAAAAAACTCTCAACAAATTTTTTGTTTAAAATGCACAGCCACACGAATGGCAGGCTGGCTGTGCCCCACTCTACGACCTTATTACCTGTTGCCCCCACATAAACCCTTCAACGCGCTGACATCCCAGAGAGCTCCGTACCGTGCTGGAATAGCTCAGCCTTGAAATTAACTTTTAAAAGCCAGGCAGGCTGGCAGGCAGGCAGGCGGTAGGAGAATGCAAAATATGAAAACTCTCTCACTCGCTGGGGGGAACAAAAACAAACGCGATAAGAGAGAACAAAGCCAAAATACGCATTTGCCTGAGCCACAAACAAGCCGTTAAATATGAAAATAAGTAGCAGCCTCTGTGATGTCTGATGACTGTGTCTGATGTCTATGTCGGTGCCTGTCCAAACGTTGGCTCTAACTCAGTCTCACGTTCCTAGGTAGCTGGCAGGGTAGGAGATTCGAAGCAGTAGCCCCGCGATTCGACAGCTCTTAACCTACCAAAGAGACGTCCCTATTACGAGTATTGTGCTTGTTCGGCACAAAAAAACTTTGTCGTTCTACTCAATATGTTTTTCTCGTTTGCCACTCCAGCCCCCAGCTCCACTTCAGCTCCTGTCCCGCTCCCTTTTTCGATTTTCTTGCTACGACAGTTATTATTAAGCCGCTTAGCGATTGCCTTGCCTGGCCTTGCCTTCAGTTTCCTTTTCCTTTCCTTACTCTTCGTTTTCATTTTCATTTTCATTTCGTTTCCCGTTTTTTGCCTTTTACGCACTTTCATATCCGCTATACATATACACGTACATAAAGATATGTACATATGTACATAATATGTATCCACTCTTTATATAAATGTATATTTATCGTACAGCAAAAAAAGAACCTCACAGTAGCAGCGCATCTGTCGCCAAGTTTATTTGACGTTTATTTTATTTTTTGGCTGGCGGTGGCGGTGAACAAAAAAAATCATTTCAACTTTTGCCATAATCCTTTCTTTTTTTTTGCTGTCGCCGGAAGGCGGATATAAAATTTGCACTTCGTGCTGTGCGCCCAATTGATTGAATGATTGATTGACTGATTGCCAAGACAGATAAGAAAGCCCATTGCCCTTGTCATGCCCTTACCGTACTCCCAGTACTCCCTGCCCCGAGCTGCTGCCAAAAAGTTTTAATGAAGCCTGCCGCCTGCCTGCCTGTGCCTGTCAAATAATTACGCATATCACGTATACGCCATGCTGTATATTCTGCTTATGAAGCTGTGTTTTCACCTGCTTTGGGTTGGACAAATTCATTAGGGAGCCTGCCAGCAGCCGACAGGTTGTGCTACTTGGACAGGTTCTCCATCATTTTACTCTCCGAGGGCAGCAGCAGAATGAGGATCGCGGAAGCTGTAGACAGGGAGGGGAATTTATAATTATTCATTAGCTAGAAAAAATATATATTTAAATTATTCTAATTACCAATGATGGCCAGCACAAAGCCATTGAAGGTCACATAGCAAAGCTGCCTGAGGGTGTAGCCAATGAATAAACTGGAAGTGAGAACTCCAGTGCGTCCAAAGATCAAGCAAAGAGCAACGGCTTTGCCCCTGGAGACAGATAAAAGAACCAATAAGGAATATGGAAAATCATAGAGGATTATCGCTCACCTGAGATGTGTGGGAATCAGATCTATGAGTAGCGATGTAGTCAGTCGCAGGCTGCATAGCGGCGGCACAATAAGCAGCAGGAATACAATCAATATCAGTGTATCGTTCGTGACAAAGTTCACCAAACAACCAGCCAGGGCAGCTGTTAAAAGGTAAATCACGATAATTGTTCTACGCCTAATGCACATCAGCAGAAAGCTCGTCAAAATGAAGGCAACAAGCACAACGACACCGTGGTAAATGGAGTCCTTGACGTTTGTAAAAGTTAAATCACACTGCAAGACCAAAGGGGGGGGGATATAAGTGGAGGAAACAAGATCTCTCAGCTCTCAGCTCACCGTGGGCAGCTCTATTTTTGTATCTCCATGCTTCTTCATCAGCTCACAGATCGTCTCGGTCTCCTCCACTTGTAGAATGAGATGGCGTACCCGCAGCATCCACACGCCCAGACCAAAACTCCTGCAAAGAAAGACTCAATATGTCTAGGGATCTGCCTTGGGGCTGCCACAACTCACACGCCAAATTGGACAAAAACACCTGCGGATGTGAGGAAAAAGCTGCGAAAGTAGGGCCGCTTCAGCAGCGGCAGTGACTCGTACCACAGGCGAGCCAAACAGCTGGCAGAGGAATGAATAGAGAGATATAATTGTAGATGAATATACCCCCTGTAATTGATGTGCCCTTTCTTACTTCCTCTTGATGGTAGCACCACGCAAACGTGGCTGCGTGACAGAGTCCACGCCCAGGCTGGCCAGGGTGACATCCTTGCCCTTGTTCAGGCGGCAGCATTGCTCCAGCACGGCCATGGCCTTGTCATCCTCATTGACCGACAGATAATACTTGGGGCTCTCGGGCAGTCGATAGAGCAAGATGAAAGCAGTAATGCCAGGCAGCAGATTCAGCAGGATCAGCAGTCGCCAGCTAGAGAAGGTGTAATTGTTGTAGATGGGCAGGTTAACCTTTATCAAAGCAGCAATAACTGTGGCAGTATACATGGGAATTAGTTCAGGCTTGAGTTTAGGATTAATGGTCAAACTTACATGGCACATAGATCATGCTTATACCTATGGAATAGCTAACATAGTTGAGCACTTTGGGTCGCAGGGAGAACTTTGTAAACTCGCTCAGGTACGTCTGCATAGACACTGTGGGTCCAGTGACGCTTTAAGGCGATAGAAAGAGAGCAAAGGAGCAGTCAGCATGGAAACAATTCCCCTTTAGATACTTACAAGACACCTACAAGAAAGCGCATCACCAGAAACGACCAAAACTCTGGCATAAAGGCCGACAGAAGAGAAGTGAGGAGCATGAGGGAACCCGTGATTAGTATCAATTTTCGTCTGCCAATCTCATCCGCCTTGTCGCCCATGTAGTGACTCGCCAGAATCTGTGCGGTAAAGACAGCGCTCATCAGCCAGGACATGCGGTGATCGTCGATTTGCAGATCGCAGGCACTCGAGGCTACAATCAAGGACAGGCCCAACTGTTCGTTCGTTATGTAGATCTGAATCAGCATGCAGCAAAGAAAGATGATTCGCTGCATGCGCCCAAAGCCTGCAGATGATCAAATATTGATCAAGATTGCTGTTTGGATTGGTCTTTAATGCGGGAAGGGGCTTACCCAACATATGATAGACGTCGTCAATGTCTGCCATGTTTTTCCCATATATAAGTCCAAGTCTGGAAAAGTAAAAGAAAAGCTGAAGCTTAAGGCAAAGTCGGCTTTTATTTAAACTGACTTTACACGAGTACTAGAATGACTACAAGGAATCCCTTCTGGCTCTGTCAGACTGTTGAGGAGAGCATTTAACGATGTGAAAATTTATTGTTAAAAGCCAAGAAATCTTACACATCAAACCCAAAACAAATGAGTATCGAGAGAGTCAGCCTCAAACTGCACAGCGGCGGAACAATTAAAATGAGAAATAAAATGAGTATCAGCGTCTCGTCTTTGGCAAAGTTCAAGAGGAAACCAGCAAAGGCAGCAACCAGAACATAGATTAAAACGATGACTCGGCGACCGAACCAAACGTGCAGAATGCTCGTGAACACAAAGAAGCCAAGTACAACGAGGCCATGGAAGGCAGAGTCCTTCAGATCATCCATGCCTAAGTCACACTGAAAAGACAAGCTGGATCACTGGGCAATCACAATCACTGATAGAGTCTCTCACCTTTGGCAGCGTCATTATAGTTTCATCAAATTTGTCGAGCACCACACAGATGGTCTGCGATTCTTTGTTTTTGAGCGTGAGATGACGAACACGCAGCATCCAGCTGGCCAGACCAGCACCACTGCAAGACGGATAATGAGTACAGCTTCAGACGGATCCCTTATGAGCAGAAACTTACGTGCCCAAGAATACAAAAATGACAGCGGAGGCCAAAGCAAAATACCGGAAATAAACGCCACGCAGGAGGGGAAGCACGTCATACCACTGCCGGGCCAAGGCACTGGCAAAGGAAATTATATTCACTGCATGAGATTGAATCTATGTTTAAGTGAAAGTATCACCTTCGATGGATCTTTTTCTCGGGCAGTCGCGGCTGCGTGACAGACTCCACACCCAGACTGGAGAGGGTCACAGCCTTGCCCTTGCCCTTGCCATGGCCATGGCCTTTTCCTGCTCATCGACGGCCAGGTAATATTTGGGACTCTCTGGCAACAAAAATAGCGAGACAATGCCAAAGAGGCTAGGCAGCAGATTGAACAGAACCAGCACACGCCAGCTGGTGAGTGCGTAATCGTTGGCGATTCTGTGGTGCAACTTGAGGGCCAGCAGTAGCGAGGCGATACCTGCCTGAAAGCAGACAGCAGGGAGCACAACACACTGAGAATCAGCGTTATGAGAAGCATCTTGCGTCGCCCAATTTCATCCGCCTTGTAGCCCATATAGGGACTGATCACAATCTGTCCAGAAATAACCGCCGAATAAAGCCACGACAAGCGATGATCGTGAATGGCCATCTCACAGGTGGCACCCGCCAAAACCAACACCAGTCCGAGCTGCTCGTTGGTCACGTACACCTGAATGACGGCGCAGGTGCAGAAAATGAAGATTTGCATGCGGCCAAAGGCTGCGTGACCCGAATCGAGTGTAAAGAGGGAGAGAAGTCGTGTGTCTGCGGCTTACCCAGCGTGGCAAAAACATCATTAATCAATAACGACTTACAAAAATCACAAAAACTTCAAGACAAAATTGAAGTCTAGAGCGGGGTCTACTCTGGCAGCAGGAAGCACAAAATAATGCAAACTGAAAAAAAGGAGAGTACGAAGATGAGAGCACTGATTGAAGCCCAACTGGCATACACCACTTACACATGAGATAGGCCACAAAGATGTTGAGTGTGGCCACGCAGGAGACCTTCAGCATGAGGCCCACGAGCAGGCAGCCGAAAATGGAACCCAAACGGGAGAGCGCTCTGTTCAGGCTGAGAGCCTTGGCACGCAGCTGTGTGGGCATGCAATCAACCAGCACCGCGGACACCAAGGTGATCATCACACCGGGCAGAATCATCATCAGGCTGAAGCAGATCAAAATGGCAAGTGGTTCCTTGATGAAGTTCAGGGCCAGGCCGCAAAGGGCGGCGGTGCTGACGTAGCAAACGAAGACATGTTTCCGCGACACGAACACCAGCAGAAGCAGAGCCAAGAAGTAGAAGCAAATGTAGGCGATGCCATAGTAGATCGGATCGGTGAAGTCTGGCAGTTCGGTGGGGGCTGTAACGTTCTTTGCCTGGTCAAAGTTCCTGGGTTTGCTCAGCACATCGCAGAGCAGTCGGTACTGGCTGTTGTCCTGACTACGCAGCAGTGGAAACCACATGCCCAGGCCAAGGGAGCTGTCGATACAGGTCGGAAATGAATGCTGAGAAGTACTGGAAAAAGCGACGCCACTCACATCAGAAACATGCCAAACGACAGCAGCGTGCAGACCATAAAGTCACGGCAGTACGGTGGTTTCACCAAGCGAATGCTGTCATCCCACACGAGCTTAAAGTAATTGGACTTAACCACAATTGTCTGCCTGCGAAAGTCCGCCAGCTCGATGTGCAGCTCGTCCATGTTCTTGCGGTTGCGGCGACACAGCCAGCGGAGCACCTCGTAGGCATCCTCCTTGCGCTTCACGGACATCAGATAGTAGGGACTCTCCGGCAGCCAGCACAGACCCAGCAGCGCAATGACACCGGGCAGCGTGTACAGCATCATGAGGTAGCGCCAGGAGCGCTGCTCATAAGCGTCATCTGCCGATGCGCAGTATTGTTTGGGCAGAAATAATTTCGCCACCAGCGGGCAGTAGATCAGCGACAAACCCACGCCCAGGCTGAAGACGACAACGAGCTTGGGGCGGGCATGTGGCGCTGAGAATTCTGTCATGTAGCCAAGGATACATGTGGCAGGTCCACAAAGGCTAAGGGGAGAGGGAATAAGTGAGGAAATTATCAAATCAAAAACGATCTACATACAATACTCCAACGAAGAATCGCGTTGTCGACAACGCATACACCTCCGGCATAAGTGCCGACGTCACCGACAGCACAATGGTAACGAGCAGCATCCAGCGTAAGATTCTAACCCTGCCCTTGACATCTATGAGGTAGCCCACGTAGAATCCAGAGAGCGTCATGCCCACCATCAAGGAGGTCATCATCAGTGACTTTTGGCCGGAAGTTGTGCCCAGATCGCAAGACGAGGCCACAACGATGATCGACATGCCGAAGCTCTCGTTGACGGCCAGCAAATTGGCGAAACTGGAGAAGACCAGCACCAGCACCTGGCCACAGCCAAAGCCTGTCGAGGAATGGAGCTAGATGGGAGCCATAGAAAGGCCTGCAAAGACTTACCTATCGAATTCAGAGCTTCGTCTAGCTCCATGCTGTGTGCTCATTTGTGTTTTTCTGTTTATTTAAAAAAGAAATGACAACTCTCACACAACTTACACCTTAAAAGCACATTTCAACTTGGTTCCGCATGCTTTGTCTTTTTGTGTAGACTTTTCTTTTCTCTTTTACTTATTCTAACTCCTTTCTTAGCCTTAGTTTTAGCTTTTGTTTTAGTCTTAGATCTAGTTTTAGTCATAGACCATTTAACACTTTTCATTCTTCGCCAAGTAATCGTTTGGTTCTTTGAGTTGAGTTGCAAAAAAAGAGTTTGAGCCACTGCCATCGTGGAGCCACTGCAGGAATGGTCTAAGTTTGCTCCTGTCTCCCCCTCAACACCAGGTACCAGTCGCGTCGGTCTGCCGAGTGGACCCAACAGTCGCAAGAGCTCCATTCTGGATCTCACGCAGCAGCAGCAACAGATCCAGCAACTCCAGCAGCTGCAGCAACAGCAACAACTCCAGATGCAGCAGCAACATCTGCCAATTGGCATTGGCAACCATGATACCAGTCCGCCGTCCGATGAGGAAGACAAGCGCTTTCGACCACGCTGGAAGGGCTCTGGCAGCCAGCTGCCACCACAGAGCCCCAAGCAGGCGCTGTCGAGACTCAAGCAGGCCGCTTCCGTCTCGAATGTGGCCCAGGAGCGACACAACCAGCTGCTGGGCTCCAATCTGGGCGATGGTTCGCCGCAGCATCAGCAGCAGCAACAGGCGAACCTGCGGAAGGGCAGCATGATTAATCTGCGCGGTCAGGGCCAAGGCCAGGACATGCTCTCCGCTGGGCAGTTGCAGCAGCAGCGCAAGGGCAGCATGTTTCAACTGGGCGAGGCCCAATCGCTGTCGCAGCAGCCACAGGCACAGTCCCTGCAGCGCAAGGGCAGCATGTATGTGGGCGGCAGCGGCAGCGACACGCCCACCATGGGCACACCGACGCGGAAGGGCAGCATCTATCAACGGACCAGCACGGACAGCGGCGATAGTCCGCAGCGGAAGCAGAGCGTGGTGAAGACCCTCAGCGGCAGCTATGTCAATGTCTCGGCCATCACCGGCAGCGAGTCGAGCTACGGCCTGAAGCTGGGTCCCTCGCAGATCCATCCCAAGGGCTACCGCCTGTCCACGGCTCGCTATGGGGAGCTCAAAATGGGTTTTGTGAAAATCAAAGGCAACGTCGAAGTGGAGGTGAGTGGACATCCAGTTCCTGTCTGTTTCTTCTTGTCTGTTTCTCTTGTTTAATATTTCCCCTCGTTGCAGCTTATGTGTGCTCGTAATATTGTCAACGAGGACTGTGAGACGCCGCCAGACACATATGTCAAATGTTATATCAAGGATGGAGAACGATTGCGGCACAAGAAGAAGACGCGCGTGGTGCGCCATTCCGCGGAGCCATTCTACAGGCAGACCATCAAGTATCAGGTGAGCAAAATGGTAGCCATTGTTACAGGTGCCAACGATGTGGCTGCGTATGATGTGGATGATGATGATGATAATAATGATGATGCTGCTGATGGCCAGGATGTTATTACCTTCTGCCGCCTGCATTGTAATGCGATTAATGGCAGCCTCGACCACGCAGCGGACGCGGCACCATGGATGAGATGAGGCCAATTTTCGTTGCCAGCAGGGAGCTGCAGCCAGCGCTTAATTTATTGGTGATGGTTACAGGCAGCGGGGAAGCACGTGCTGCCATATTTATTTTCAGTTTATTACACGACCAAATTTGTATGTAAATAAACCTGACCTGACTGACCGACCATCCGTTCCTTCACAGAGCTCGGACGTCTTTGGGCGGAACATTGTCATCATGGTGTGGCAGCGATGCGTGGGATTCGAGCACAACCAGGGGCTGGGCGGCACGGAGGTGAATCTGGACAAGGTGAACATTGGACAGCACATCAATGGCTGGTATCCGCTGTTCCCCATGCACAGCTACGGGGGCTCCGACTCGGACAACTCTCCTTGACCGAACACGCCAGCGCGTGAGACATCGAAAACAATAATTCAAATGAAATGCACGACACCAAGAGAACAAACACTCGTAACACATCAACTGAAAGCTCAATTTGTTAGCGCCTAAGTATGGATCAGCCATATAAAATATTACACAAAGAATCCACACACTCCCCTCCAAGCAGACACAATGAAATCCCCAGCAAAACCTAGAAGCAAACTGCATTATAATTATGTGTCCCCCCCTTGTAGTTGTAGTCAATGAGCTTAGCATCGGTTGGCAGTATGCAGTGGGCAGTAGGAATGGGTTTATTGGGTTATTTGGGTTATGTTAAGTGTATTCACGGTGCGAGAGCTTTGTAAGTAAGGTACACGGTAGGGTAAGGGTCAGGGCAAGCACTGTACTACTACATATATCAGACAGCACAATAATTGACAAGAGATCGACATGAGAGAATGGGAACCGAGAGTACCAGAGAGAAATAACTACAATATATATATAGGAAAGCACATACAATATTTATGCGTATATATTATATATTTTTGCTTGTTGTGTTTGTGAAAGTTTAATGAATGTTGTTTGCATTTGAATCGATAAATGAAACGGTGGGCACTGAAACAATAATATTGAAATATCTAGGCAAAGAAGACAGACAAACAGAGAGACAGAGTGAGAGTGGGTCAAAGTATGGCAGAACGTCAAGGAATAATGGGTATATCTAAGTGTTAATTAAATGTGGCGCAAATACCAAATTACAATAGCCTCCAACTATCTCCCCAGTTTAGTGTACAGCCGAAAGGTTTCAACTGATTCACACGTTGAAAATAACAAGCAAGCAACCCATCAACCAACCTAGCTATCAACTCAAGCAGAAGGAACACAAATGATATCTTTCAATTTAATGTGACAATCTTTATGGGTGTCTGGTGTGTTGTGTGTATGTGGATGTGAGTGCGACTGAAGCGTGATTAAGACGAATTTACTGTAGTCATTTTATGGTAGGGCAACATTTGTAGGGCATTGATTGCTACACAGCAGCAGCAGCAGCAGCATCAGCAGTGGTGAGGCATCCTTCTGTTCCTTCCTTCGTAACGCTAACTCTTAACTCTCTGTAACCCGTTCCACCCGATGCTTTCTCAGCTACGAACAGGACAATCTCTTGTGACGACAAAACGTGTGAAATTTACAATTTCGGAACTTGTGTATTAAATCGAATCAACGTTCAACCTTAATGACTTGGAGTTTCAAACTAAACAAATTACAAATATATACACACTTATTTATATATGAAGCTATAGCTATACACTTAAGCCGCATCCACAGAGGCGCAGGGCATTGTGAAACTTTTACTATCCCCCATCCGAAATGTTTACTGCCCTTTCGGGCAGGCGGCTCTTTTTAAACGCTAGTTATGGTAGCTAAAAGTCTTTAAACTAAACTCCTTAACTCTTAATCTGTACTCGTAAATCCGTTCTTATTGTTAGATTGTTGCTTTGAGAAAACAAGAGCAGAATAGTGCCCATTGTCTGTGGGCATAGTCATTGTTGTAGAACTTGTAAGTAGAACCTAATACTATCTACATATGTATAGCGCGTACACTTGGTAGTTGAGTTGTCGTCAAGGTAGTCAGGGTAAAAGTGAAACTAGAAGTCGTATATTCCCTTCCTTGCTTTACCGTTTAGTTTTGGGCAAATTACTCTTCACAATCTGGCTGTCGACTTACCCGAGTTGTTTTTACTATAAATGGAATAATGGGAAAACGTGGTTGGGTGACGAAGAAAACTAAAAATGGTTGTGCTATCTCAAAAAAACATATATTCTAAATGTTGAAACTATTTTTTTCGGCAAAAACAAAGACGAAGAGAAAACTGCTGCTAAAATCTACTACTTAAGTCTATTGATCTTTTCTACTATAACATACAAAACCTACTGTTACTGTTACTATTACTATTACAATTAACCCACTTATTGTACTTTTCCAAAGTGTTAGTTATGGATTTAAAAACAACGACTAGGACTTTGAACACTGTAAAAATAACACCATATCAGCGTGTAGCGTTGGAAAACGATGATTGTTTGTAGATGGGAGGATTGCGCTTTAAAAGTGCCGATTGGGGGGGGCTGCAGGGCAAGGCTTGTAAGAATACTATATACATATATAATAACTATAAATACCATATATAAATATAACCTTAACGATTTGTTAACAATTATTACCTAGCAATTACCTGCATTACACTATGTAAATCAATATATAAACCGATGTGAACTCCATAAATACCTAAATACATATATGAATATGATTATTATTATATGTATTTAATATCTGGTATTTGGTAAACTGTAGCAAAACCAAAGGAAACCCCCACATCAATGTGTGTATCCAAATGAGTTTCAATAAACAAAAAATATTTATTTGGAATCCCTTGTTTCATTTGCATTTGGGAATGGGAACTGTTGCTGCGCACGATCCTGTAAAAGATGGTAATTCTTTTAGGAAGCCAGGATTGATGAAATCGGAAGAGAAAAGGATTACGTGAAGGCATTTAATGGACAAATATTAGAAGGGCGGTATCCTTCTTTTCCTTTATACCAATCTGCATGCAAACAAGCGAGGACATTCTGCCGATGACGAGGAGACACCGAATGCCCAGAACGGACACGAAATGGCAAAGATATAGCGACTTAATTAATGACACCTATTTCCCACATTTAAACTTCGCGCCAAATAGAACATTAACATAAGCAATGCCTGACAAAAGCTCGTCGCCATAAAATGTCATATGTAGTACCAAATATTACCGATTGGCGCCACTTCTCTTTCATTTCAAAAATTCAACGGTGGCGCCCTCATCTTGTCGGCGGGAATTTTTCGAACTAATCAAATTTAGTTCCATCAGTGGCCGTCAAAGTAGGTCTAAAACGGCGGCGCCACTGTGCTTGGATCGACCGATTCGCAAAATTAACAAAATATATGTTGCATACTTTTAATGTTAAACCATACCATACTTTTGGGGATATACAAAATAAATTGTGCACTTTTAATGATAGCCCATAGCATACTTTTGGGGATATACACATTTAGTACAACAAACACCTTCAGGTACTCAATGTACCTCAATACCCCTCTACCCAACAAAAATAAAGGACAGCATGGTTGATTTTGTTAAAATAATGATTTTTTATTTTATTAATTTACAAAAAATACACAATTAAAATATGCCACTGCATACACGCGACTCGCACATGTACGTATATACAAGGGGGAAATCAAACAAATATGATTACAACGAATTGAATAGAATACACAACTGCAAGAACACAGAAAGTGGTTTACATACATCTTTCAGGGCAACATATTGTATCTCTAGTGCTCCATTGGAGAGGTGGAGAACCCAGGAGGTTTTTCTTACGTTAGACAGTAAAGTAAAATCATGTTTAGTGCACAGTAATAAATTGCATTGAAATAACAACAAAGTGAAGAACAGGATCAAAATTGTAAAGATTACGATTAAAGGTTAGATGTGAATTCGTTTTGGACAAATTTTGCTTGCATTATCGTATATGTATGTTGGCAATTAATTGGCAGATAAACACGCAGACAACAGGATGCACGAAATTATAGAATCGAATAGTCGAATAGCGATAGTTAGGTGTTAATATTAGGCCGATTATATGGTATGGGTAGATAGTGTATAGATGTAGTTTTGCTATTGGCTAAATACAATTAATATTACATTATTCCTATTAGTATGTATATGTGGGTGTAAATGTTAAAAGCACAATTGGCAAACATCGACGTGGCGCCAGGCGAGTAAACATTTACTTAAGCAACTACTAGAACACGGTGCGGCCCCAGGCACTGCTGGGCACTCATTCCAATCGAAAACTGTGCTTCTCCGTCTTCGTTTCAGAGCGGGATTCCGTTGTTGTGGTGAAAGACTTTCGCTCCATAACGCGCTGCGTCATCGAAGTGAGCCGCTCCGAGCCCTGATCGACAATGCTAAGCTTACCGCCATCTGTGTTGAGTGTCATCTGGGAGAAGCTCGATTCCAGGGGCTTCACCAGCGCCTGCTGTTGTTGTTCACTGCTGCTGGTGTTGTTGCTGTTCGCTGACTTGTCGAAGTTGCGCGTCTCGTATCTAAAAGTAAAGTATAAACCAGTATTAGTATCAGGCATAAGAAGTTACCATTTTTAGGACCCTACCTTGACGTGTAACCTTCGTAGCTTTGACCGGGATAGCCATTTCCTCCCGTTAGCTGTACCACGCCGCCCTGGCCAAAGGTCTTGTCATGCAGGTCCTGCACGCATGCCTCCAGATTGCGGTTCACTTGCGGTTTCTGTGGCACAGCCGGTGGAGTAGGACCAGATGGAGCAGCAGTGGAGGAGGATGAGTTTTGCGTTTTAGTGCTGGACGATTCAAAGCTTTGCTGGTAGTTGGCATTAGTGGGTGTGGTGAGACCGCCGCCAATGGGTGCAGATGTTAGGCCATTGCTGCCGCCAGGACTGCCCGGGTAGGGGCGTGGCACTGCATTGGCTGTTAGCTTGGGATTAGGGCGGAAACTGTGACCCGAGGTGGCGGTTTGCATGTTAGAAATGGTCGTCGACAGCGGCGGCGGTGGTGGTGGAAAGTCTCCAATGTGATCGTGATCGTCCATTCCTGGATAGTTGGCAGGCGGCGGAGACACGGCTCCTGGATGATGGAAGTGCTGCGGCTGTGGACTGGCATAGTTGTAGTGATGCTTCTGCTGACTGCTGCTGCCGCCGCCGCCCGAGAAGTAGCTCGGGGAACTGGGCAGCTCCCCAGACGCATAGTAGCCGCTGCGACCCAGAGTCTGTTAAGGTTAGGGGTTAAAGGAAAGAGAGAAAGAGAAATACGGTTGGTTAGACTGGTTAAATGTTAGATTATCATCGACCAATTAGGGGCCCACACCAACTACTTCTAATCAAAAACTAAACAACTAAACAATTTGTGCCTTAATTTCGTCATCAATCTCAATGCCAATCTCTATCCCTGGTGCAGCAGTCATCAATGAACTAAAAACAAATTCTAACAAGGTTGTGGGGTAAAGGAAACGTTTCTCATACATTGTTCTGGCTCTTGTTGAGCGTTCCGTAGGCGTACTCCGTGTCACTCTCGTCGGTGGTGAAGCCTTGGGGGTTCTTGGCGTAGCGCTGAGCCTGTCGGACGTGCTTCAGTCGCTGGCGCGCCTCTTCCAGTTCCTTTTCCTTGCGCAGCACGGCAGAGCGGGCGTTGATCTCCTGCGCCATGCCATCCACCATCGAGGTGTTGATCTTCAGCGAGTGCTCCTCCTCCGCCTCCAGGCCCTGTTGGGCGGCATGCACCAGATTGTCAGTGGACTTGATGACGGCATTGCCAGCCGCCTGCAGACGACGTCCGGCCTCCGAATTGGGATTCGACTTGACCTTGCAGGCAATTAGCAGCTGGGCCGTCGAGGCAGCCACCTGCTTGGCCGTGGAAATGAGCATCTCCTCGGTGCCCACACCACGCACCAGGTTCTGTGCAGCCTCCACCAAACTATGTGTGGCAGCGGCCACGAGACGAGCGGCCGAGATGAGACCCTCAGACCACTGGCCATCGTCGGAGCTGGTGAGGGGACGGCGTGCCACCTTGCCCTGGTCAATCAGCTCACGCTGTGCGGCATTTGCAGCACGCACCAGGGCTGCGGACGCTGCCATAATGCCCTTGGCAGCCTCCAGGATCATCTCATCGAACTTCATGTTCTCATCCAGCTCGATCTGTGTGGGGAAAGGGAAGGAAAAATTAATGTAAAGTGGCTCCATAAAGAACAGTAAGTAAGGTTGGTTATACATATATAACATATATAACATATATAACACCATTAAATTTTAATTGTGCAGGGGTTTAGTTCAGGCCTTGGCTTGGGTGTTTAGTAGATTTCCGGGTATCACAGTAATAATATGTTTGATTCCTGGGTGAACTCTTGAATGTAACAACCAAGAATATCAAACATATCTCACTGGAATTCCCAATTAGTTCGTTTGGTTGATTGGTTGGTGAGCGGATGAGAGTTAAGAGTTACATTTTGGGATATTTCAAGCACCGCTTAAACACTAAAATGAGTTTCGATCGTTAGTTTTTGTTTCACATTCACCGTACATTAGCATTAACATTATTATATTTATAACTAGGTTTCCATTAAGAAAGAACTTTGAACCCACCTTAACATCTGCCTGTCGTCTGGGTCTCAGCGAGGCCAACTTCTTGGCCGCAGCATCGATGGAGGCAGCGGCACCCAACAGCTCGTTCTCGGCTATAACTGTGGGATCTTCGGGATCGATCCAGTCGGAGCCCTTCAGCAGCCTGGCCATGGCCACCAGATCCGTCACACACTTGGCCACGCGACGCGACAAGTGCATGCGATCATCGGCACTACAGTTGTGCAGAATGCCATTCAGCAGATCCCTGTAGGACTCGCCCACGGATGTGCCCGCCTCGAGCGTGCGTACACGCAGCTCCTCCGTTTCGGCACAGTTCCAGGCCACGGAGCGGCACACAATTAGCATGTCAGAGATGGCACGACGTCCCAGATTGGCTGCGGACACAATGTCCGCCTGCAGATTGGAGGCACCAGCAGCCACAGCCTTGGCAGTGGCGGCCG